CACCTCAATTTGGGTCATTTTTCCCCCTTAGGACTCCGAGGACCCCTTACCCCTCAGGCAGCACCGCATGACATTCTATCAGGAAGTTACATAAAAATCAGTCTTCTGTTCCAAAGAAAATTTCAGGAGCTGCAGACACAGTTCAAGACTATATACAGCCTGAAGGCACAGGACATATGCAAACGGCATCTATTCACTGTCATCAGCGAGCCTCGTCACCCGTCTAATGCTGGCATTCAACTTCAAAATATCCAGATAGAGGAAACTTTTATGTGTCAGGGGGGAAAATCAGAGTTAGCAAGAGCTCGAAGAGAAGAGCAAGCCGGCAAACAGGACTGAGAGAAGGTGACCGGACGTGAGGCCGGTCTCTGGCCTAACCCGGGTCCCAGCCCCAGCTGCCCTGCAGAACCCACCAGGGGACACCCCACATGCCTCAGAAAACTCACGGACACCCCACATGCCATGGAATCCCCCCAACGCTCACAGCCACTCAGGTCTGACTCACACACGCCCTTCCATGCAAAAGAGCTGAAGGAACAAGGATCCCCAGGTCGAAGCTTCTAGTGTTGGGGCTGGAATGATAGTACAGCGGGGAGGGCATTTGCCTTTCATGCAGCCAACCTGGGTTCAAATCCCGGCATCCCATATGGTCCCCTGAGCACCGCCAGGAGTAAATCCTGACTGCACAGCCAGGAGTAACCCCCGTGCATCTCCGGGTGAAAAAATTAACAATAAAAAGATAACACCGTGGAGGTGTGCAGACTGGGGGCGGGGTGCAGAGGGAGACCTCCCAGAGAGCCTGGCCCAGAGTGAGCCTAACATCCCCAAAGACCCCGTAGGATGGCTCCTCCAGGTCTGGGGTGCAGCCTCACACTTGAGTCTAAGCCACCCTGGTCAGGATGTCCAAAGAGTCCTCAGAAAAGAACCGGAAACTCTGCATTGGAGCAGACCACAGAGGATGATGCAGGGGAAGGAAAGCATTAGGGGGCCTCTTTCGAACTGCTCAGGGGCCCAGGTGACTGTTCAGAGCGGGAACTGTGTCTGCCTGCGGACAGCTAAACCGGCTCCTGCCCGGCCCTGCCCAGCCCCGAGCACCCAAACAAAACATTCATGTTTAAAAACGGCGTATTACTACAGAGACACCTCTAACAACTCCCACCCGGCGAGGCTCAAGGGATAGGCTCTGCACTCAGGAATTATTCTGGTGGTGCTTTGGGGACCATATGGGATGCTGGGGATTGAACCTGGGTCAGCTGCGTGCAAGGCAAATGCCCTCCCAATGTATATTGCTCCAGCCCTTGTAATTCCTCTTTAAAAGCCCCTAGGGTCATATCTGGTGGTGTGTGGGTCCCTCCTGTCCTGAACCCGGGGCTCCCCAGGTGATGTTGGGGCTCTAGCCCTCTAAGCTATATCCCCACCACCCATAATTCTGTATTAAAAAAAATTTTTTTGAAGTTAACCACAGGGGCCGATGGCACAGCGGGTAGGGCGTTTACCTTGCACATGGCCTACCCAGGTGAGATTCCTCCTCCTTCTCGGAGAGCCCGGCAAGCTACCAAGAGTATCCTCCCCGCATGGCAGAGCCTGGCAAGCTCCCTGTGGCATATTCGATGTGCCAAAAACAGTAACAACAAGTCTCAGAATAGAGACGTTACTGGTGCCCGTTCCAGCAAATCGATGAACAATGGGAGGACAGTGCTACAGTGCTAACAACAGAGGCCAGAGCGATAGTGACCAATGCCAGGCTACTAGAGTGCCAGGAGTAACCTCTGAGCATCGCCAGATGTTTCTCTCTCTCTCTCTCTCTCTCTCACACACACACACACACACATGCGGGGGGCCCCGCCAGACCACTCTCCGGCCTGCGGAGGTGGCCCTAGGATCCGTAGGTGCTGGGAAGGACCGACCGAATGAACACGAGACACAAGAGACAGAATACAGCTCAGAAACAGAGAGAAAAAGGGACAGGACTTTATTGGGGGCAATCAGGGTATATATCCATTAGTGAGGCAGCTACACAAAAGGTCGTGCCCATATATGGTTAGGAAGGTTTGTTTTCACCTATCATGCATTACAAGGTTTATGTGTATCTGGTACCAGACACGAGGTGATTACACAAAGGGCCATGTCCATATGATTTACCAGACATGAGGTAGATACACAAAGAGCCATGTCCATATGATTTATAAAATTTACATGCATCACCTACCAGACACGAGATAGTTACTTCTTGTTATTACTGACAGCCATGACAGATGTTCTCTCAGGATAACCATACATCAAGATAACCATACATAGCACTGGTTTTGCCTGTTGCGGGGTCACGTAGGTCAAGATGACCATACATAGCACAGGCTGTGCCTGCCGTGGTGTCCGTAGGTCAGGATGACCATACAGGCACTTAGGCCTTGGTCAGTTAAAGGGCCAGCTTCCCACACACACACACGTTAACAACACGTGTCTACACTGCATGATCTGCTCTGCTGTAACTGGGAGTGGGGTGAACCTTTGCATTATCAGCCCAGTTCTACTCTTCTCAGTGGATTTCACAGGGCCGTTTAGCCCCCAGGGCATTTGCGAGGGCCCAGTGCCAAACTCGCTGATATTACATACACACATTTTTACTCAGTCCCACCTCATGATTGGCGCCGGGAGCATTGGGGCTGGGCACGGGTTCAGGCTGACTCCCTGGCTTAGCACTGGGGGTCACACCAGGAGAGGCTTGGAGGACCATATGGGGTGTCAGGGAATGAACCCGGGTCGGCCAGGGGCAAGGCAAGTGCCCTACCCACCTTACTATCTCTCTGGCCCTGGTACGCCGTTTTTAGAGGACATTATCAAACTGATGTGTTTCCCACTTGCATCTTCCCCTTCATTCCGGTACTTATTTTCCCTTTCCCTCCCTTTCTCGCTGAGGCTGAGGGTCACACACTCTAGGTGGTGGTTACCCACTTGGGGGCGGGGGGTCTCACTCGGGCTGCCAGAACTCCAGCCATGCACAATTTTCCCTATTTACAGTGAATAATATGTCATAGGAAAAACATCTGGTTGAATGTGTAAACACACAAAAAATAAAAGGGCCGGTGGTCTATCTCTCCCGCTGCCCGCGTTCGGTGGTCTCAGGCCGTTTCCCAATCCAGGGAGGTGGATGGCGTTGGTCAGGCGAAGGAAGGAAACGGGGACCAGGCTGGTTGGTCTTAGCAGCAGTTTATTACAGGGAAGAGATGTATGTCATGGAGGCCCCAGGATCTCTCAAGCATGTGCTCCTTTGTTCTCTCAGCTTCTGTCCTCAGCCCCATCTTCCCAGGTTCTCTGATGCACATGTCCCCCCAGAGAGCCCTTAAATCTCCCTTATATAGATCACAGTACCTCTAAAGGGCGCAATATAATGATGTCATCAAAAGGAGTTACAGAAAGAACATTGAGGCAGCAAACCATACATTGTTTCTTTATATCCACACTGTTTCTTTACAAGTGCAGGCCAGGAATCCTGGCCTCACCTTTTACAAGCTATAAGCACTTGGATTAGCACAACAAAGACCAGTCCCTAGAGCTTGAAATCTACATCAGCCTGCCTGGAGCCAGGCATCTACATCCCAAAGATCAGGCCTGGCTTACCACCTGGGATCTGCATACCTAAGGCCAGCTAGGTTCCTGTGAGCTAAGGGAAACTGCCTCAATATACTGAAATCATTTACTGAAGGCAGTTTGAAGGGGAGAAAGTTCAGTCTCATCCAAGCTAGTCAGGACACACAGGGAAACTGCTTCTAGGACGTGTTTCTCCTCTCCTTGTCCAACCAACATATAAGCATACATATAATTTTGTATGGACACAGTAAGAAATACTTTGAGCTTATAGAATTGCTCTCCTAGGGCCATCTCGATCTCAGACTGCAGTGCTCAGGCCAGATATCTTTCCTATTCCTAGCAGCAGGGTCCTAGTCTCGTCGTTACTTTTGGATCATGACAGCATTTGCCTATGATCAAACTCTTAACTTATAGTTAAAATCATATTTGCAAACAAAAAACCACCTTTCAGAAAAAGACAACATTTAAAAAAGAAAAACTCCGGGGGGGGGCAGATAGGTAGTTCAGTGCGAAGGTGCTTCCCTGGTATCAAAGAGTCAAATATGGACCCCTGAGAACCCCTAAGAGTAATCCCTGAGCATCACCAGGTGAGGCTCCAAGCAAAAACCAAAGAAAAGCAAACAAATAAATATGTGCTGAAAATAACCAGTAGGAAACAGGCTGGGACGGGCGTGTGGGAGAAACAGAATCTCCCGCACACCCTGCACCCAGCCCTGAGGTCACACTGCAGAACCTCAAGAGTTTGAATGAAAAATGGAGGCAATTGTATTTCTAGAAAATGAGAATGTAAGATTAGAGTCTTCAGGTCTTGCCAAGACTCAATCAAGGGGAAAGGTGGTCACGAAAACAAAATCCCTCACAAATGGCTAACTGGAAAAACGCAGTGACAGACTTGAGTATTTCTGGCTGGAGCAGCCCTGCCTTCCACTCTCGAAGCTTCCTCCCCAGCCACAGTCAAGTCAGGGTGGGACGGGCACAAGGACAAACATCGACCAGCAGCAGAGAAACACCAGAAATAAACACATTTAAGGACAATTGATTTTTGAGAATTCAGTAAGGGCATTAACAATTTTAAGCCAATTTGTTGAAACAGGAGGGTCTCCATAAGCAAGAGGAGCAGCGGCCCGAGAGACAGCACAGGGGAAGGCGCTGGTCTTGCACGCAGCCAACCTGGGTTCTATCCCTGGCAGCACATATGGTCCCCGAGCATGGGCAGGAGTGATCCTTGAGCACAGAACCAGGAGTAAACCTTGAGCACTGCTGGGTGTGGCACAACTCCCGTCTCTCCCCAAAAGGAAGAAACTGGAGGCTTCCAGGAATCACTGAAATGCCAGTGTCAGTGTCACCATCACAAACGAGGCACAAACGAGGCAGAAAGAGCGTCAAGTTCAAAGGGCAAACACTGAACTTACTCGGAAGGCGCCCTCCGACTCCATGGAAAGAAGGTCCCCGTCGAAGGGAATGAGGTCCAGGCTGTACTCCTCCCTGTGGATGAAGGAGCCCAGGACGCCCCGGTCCTTTAGCCGCTGCTCACACAGCAGGCGACGCTGAAGCACAAACAAGATGTGGAAATCTCTTATGAGGCCACATCTGTCTTCACTGCAAGAGAAGGACCGTGCATTAGCCTGAGGCCCCGAGGCGAGGACTGCTCCCCAGGGCCCTCCCTGTGCCTGACACACAGTGGGCTGTAAAGAGACGCTTATAAGCTACCCCCCACCACTGACTCGGCCCAAGATTCTAGTTTTCTTGCTCTCTTGATTTTGATGCTTTTTCTGGAAACCGCTGACCTGTGCTCTGCCAAGGGGCAGTGTTAGTTTCTCTTGGGCCATTAATGGGACATGAAAACTCTCAGGGTTGGGGCTGGAGCAACAGCACAGCGGGTAGGGCGTTTGCCTTGCATGCGGGCCGACCCGGGTTGGATTCCTATGTCCCAGCATCCAATATGGACCCGTGAGCACCACCGGGGGTAATTCCTGAGTACAGAGCCAGGAGTAACCTCTGTGCATTGCCAGGTGTCACCCAAAAAAAAGGAAAAAAAAAAACCTCTCAGGGTTATTGCAACGGACATCTGTTTCTTGCAGAAAAAAATGTTTCTATTTAATCAAGCGATGTCTCTAGGAAAATAAAAGGTTGCTCCACACCGTGCCCGATTTTGCTCAAATACCCCGTATGCTTTTAAGTCCTTAGGGGCCACGTCGATCAAACGTAATGCAGACTGGGCTGGTGCACTTCCTCCATAGATGCTGCAGCATTAAATTTTAATCAGCTTCTCCTGACTTTGCTTATGAAGTTTGAGCATATGGTATTCAGTACTTGAAAAAGAACCATTAGCTGTTTTTCTTTTTATAAAGAAATTTGGGTCCTTCTAGCACAGCGGGTAGGGCGTTCGCCTTACAAGCGGCCAACATGGCCGACCCGAGTTTGATTCCTCGGCCCCTCTCGGAGAGCCCGGCAAGCTTCCGAGAGTATTCGATATGCCAGACACAGTAACAACAAAGTCTCCAATGGAGACATTACTGGGCCCGCTCGAGCAAATCAACGATCAACGGGAGGGCCTACTGAGACAGGCCGGAGCTTTCTACTGTCCTGAGACAGGGGGTTTATGTGGTTTGCCCTGTCTCCCCAAGCCCCAATACACAAAGTTTCCCATTCTCTATTTATAGTTTTTGGGCCACCCCGGCAGGTGCTCAGGGATAACTCCTGGCTATGCACTCAGAAGTCATTCCCGGAAGACTTGGGGACCGCACTGGGTTCCGAGGATCTATCCTTGGCTGACTGCAGAGTATCCTGCTCCTGACCCCCCATTCTCCTCCGACACACTCTCACATCTGTCCAAAGATCCACTTCCTAAAGCGCTGGCAAGCAAAGGTGTCCTGATGAGCACTCAAACCACTAGAGGAATGATTCCGTATGGATCCAGCATCAGCTCTGAGATACCTAAGCACATTTTCAGCCATTATATCCATCAGTTCTAGCCGGGGTCTGACGAAAAAATTGATATTCTTGACATCGGCTGCTGGCAAGAGGCTTCTTTTGAGTGTGAACATTTTCTCCACCTCATGTTCCTAGGAAAGCACACATACAAATGGTGAACAGAACCCCTAAAACTTACCAGCCGACCCAAACTTGGGCATCACTGCAGGCAGCCAACCTGGGTTGGACTGCTGGCCTCCCACACCATCCCCAAACACCACCAGGAGTCAATCGTGAGTGCAGAGCCAGGGGTAAGACTGAGCACTGCCAGGGGAGGCCCAAACAAAACAGACCAACAACAAAAACTCAGGTGTTGTAACACTCCCACTCCAAAGCACAGTATACTTTAGTGTTGAGTCGGAGAGTGCAGAGGTTAAGGTACATGCCTGACACATGACTGCCAACTTCGCCCCCTGGCACCACAAGGCTCTCAAGCATTGCCATGTGCAGCCCAAGAGAGGCCACTGGAGTGGCCTGGGATATCCCTGCCACCACAGCACCAAGCATCATCGAACTGCTAAGAATCACCACCAGGAGGTGCCCTGGGGCAGTGCTCAGGAGACCCGGGGCCAGGGAGAAAGTAGAGCGGGGAAGGTGCTTGCTTTGCATTCAGCTGACCCGGGGTTCTATCCCCAGCACCCCATACTGTCCACTGAGCACTGCCAGGAGTGATCCTGAGTGCAAAGCCAGGAGTAAGTCCTGAGCACTGCCTGGCATGAGCCTCCAAATAAAATTCAAAACCACTTTAGTATAAAAATTTAGATTCCCCAAAGTCAGGTGTATAAATTCAGGCTGAAGTAACCAATCCTGTGTCTGAAAAACTTTGAGCCACATTAAGTAACAATCAGAAGACATGCCGATCCGTCGAGAAGAGGGGGGAGCACACCCACCCTTGAAAGGTCCACTGAAGGCTCCTATGCTGCCCAAGCCCCTGAGCTGCCTGTGCCCATGTAGCCGAGCCAATGCGGTGCCCGCAGCTCTCCTTGAGATGGGGGCTTTTTTGCTTTCCTGTCTAATCTTGGGATGTGTGTAGGGGCTCTCTCTGCCTTTGGAGAAGCCCACGGTCTCTCTTGAAATGTTACTCTCTCTCCGCTCGTCCTCTTCCTAAAAGTCACCAAATAAAAGGTTTTTTCCTTCAAATAAATAAACAAAAGGTCCACAGAAGATAAAATATTTACCACTCATACAAGCGTCAGTGATTCTAAAAACCAGACAGCTCTGCACACCAGTTACTCCAGAAGTGGAACATCATATTACTCTTGCTAGAGTCCAGAATGACAGTTTCAAAAAAAAATAACCAAAACACTTTTACCTTTAGAAGTGAGCACTGTGCAAGCAAGCTATTTGGTCCTGTGAGATGCTCATCCCAAACTACTGCCTGCGGGAGGGAGAAGCATCCCGTCCTTTGAGTAAAAGGAATTTCAGTAACGGCCAGCAACAAACAACAGCCATTTGGACAAACAAACTCTGGACAAACAAAGCTTGCAGTTAGCAACAGCTGACACACTCATATTCCTGGCCTGAAGAAAAACAGCATCAGGGCAAGGGGCGCGACTGGCCTCGGAAGCAATCACTGTCTTCCACAAAGAGTGTGTCTGCAGGGTCCTGGGGTCAGACTGGGGTCATGGACCCCGCGAGTGAACTGCCAAGGAGACCCTGGAGGAGCAGGTAGCTGGAAAAGTGGCTCCAGGGTCGCAGGCCGCTACACCCTGCACGCGGGACAGCGGGAAGGGCCTGGACGCGGGGCTGCGCTCGGCCTGCCAGAGGGACTCGAGTCGCCCCGTTTCCCTCCCAGGGCCGGGCCGCAGGGCGGGGAGCGCAACGCCCCCTCTCTCGGGCTGCACTGGGGGACGCCCCCGGCTCCAGAGGCTGCTGCCAGCCCCGGCCCTCCCCTCGCTGCCCGCGCACTCGCCCGGGAATCGCGCAGGGAGTCCAGGGTCTCCCGCGCGTGGAGGACAGGTGCGATCTCGGCGCCGCCCAGCCCCGCCGCCACGTGATGCGCGGGTCACGTGAACATCCTGACGTCACGCCTCCTCCGGAAGCCGGAAGCGGCCGGGGACCCCGTGCCTCTTCGGGGTCTGGCGTTCCGCCTCTTGGTTCCGCCCAGCCCCCCCCCCAGTCCTAGGGGTGGGCGTGGTTCAGGCCTATGTGGGCGTGGTTCAGAGAGATGGGCGTGGCTCGGCCCTGTGGGCGTGGCCCGGGCGGAGATGGGCGTGGCTTGGGTCCACGTGGGTGGGGCCGGGACTCGACCTCATTTCTCAGCTTCTCCGGCTCTGCGTCCTTCTCCCTGAGCAAAGCACTGGTAATACTGATGGATTTCTGCAGGGAAGCTTTCTCTTCATCGGAGTCTCTTATGAACTCGGATTCTCGAAAAGACCAAAGAGTTCAAAATGCCAGAAATCAAGCCAGAGAGAGGCCAGTGCACTACTGCCCTAGAACCGAGGCTCAAGGACTCCCAGGACTGTTGCAGGGGGAGGGGCCGAGGCTTTGATGCTTGCAGAAGTTTAGTGAAATTTTACTGACTGTGAGGGAGAAAAAGTTTGACTATGTGTACATGCCAGAACCTGCGTATCATTCTGTCCATTTGAATTTAAAGAAACAAGTTAATAACTTTGGGAGATGGAGAACAGAAAGAGAAAAAAAAGGACTTGTTGCACCCACACCCCCCCCCCCAAAATAATTCTTTTAAACAGCTAATCCCAGGTTGAAGTGCAATATCTTGAATAAATTATTACCAAGCTATGACAACAATTAAAACACACACATGCAAAGCAATTATATGAATGTCATGCAGAGCGGCTTTATGCTGGGAGTATCCATTGATTCTCAGTCATTTCAGTAACTTTCAGCAAGTTTGGAGATTTTGTTTTTGAAACCTTTCTGAGCCAGAACAGGGGCAAAGATTGTTCCGACTAATCCAACAGAGAATGATTTTCATCCAGACTCTGGAGAGGACCAAAGTGAGTTGCTTTAAACAAAACGGCAATTCGCAAAAGGCCAGAACAGAAAGATGAACATGGGTTTCCGGTAGAGGATGAGAGCTCAGGACATACAGAGTGGGTGGCCTCACACCCTCGGCCAGACTCTCCTCCGGACTGGCTTGCAGAGCAGGAGGAGGAGGACCTGGCCTGGGGAGAGAGTGCGGCAAGACAGAGAAGGAGCAAAGACACAATAGATACAACCCAACGGGTGCGTGTATGGCTGTGTGTGTGTGTGTGTGTGTGAGAGAGAGAGAGAGAGAGAGAGAGAGAGAGAGAGCATTTACACCACAAAAGGACGTGTGTGGGGGAGCACAGGGCGGGAACGGATGGCCAGTCAAAACTGGGCAATGCCACAGCTTGGAAAGGACATGAGAGGGGACAGAAGTGTGGCTCCTGGGATGCATATTTCTAGAGAGACAGAAGTGTGTGTGAAATGGGGGATCTCATTAAAGTCTGGGGTCCAGGACAGCTGTGGATGTTCATGTCCTACTCACTGGTTCAAATCTGTGTGCCTTGGGGACGGAGGGAATGTGCAGCCCTGGGAGAAGTGGGGAGGGCCAATGGGAACTCCCTCCATCCACCTTGCGGCACTGGGTCATGCATGTTTAGATAACATGCACTGGGCCATAGCACCAGTGATGCGGGCAGGTGACACAGTGAAGGAGGCGTAACTTACAGCAACAAGCCGAGTCTCCCTGGTGCCCGGGTGAGTGGGTGAACGAGGAGCATGTTCCGAGGGTCGGATCCCTCCAAAAATTGACAGGAGGAATCGAAGACTGAGGCCCATGTTAGAAATGGCAGAATGTATGTCTGGTTAGTGAGATCCAAGATATCCGCACACACATTACAGAATTCTCATGGGGTTACGGCAAACGGAAATTCTCACAGAGATGAAAAGAGAAGTGTGTATTTATCTCAGTGTGTGGCTCACACTTACACTCCAGATCATTAAGTAGTAAGAAAAGAATCTGAGACTAACAGAGATCTCTTGTATTCAACTCCAAGGGCTGGACGTACACCAGAAAGGGTGGTGCAGTTAAGCTATTACATGAGTAACTCCTCGCTGGGAAACAGGATCTTGTTTAGGTGGAAATAAGAGGGTTTTAGAGGAAAGGCAATCTCTGATGCAACCCTGTGGGTCAGGAATCTTGACTTTCCTATGGCATGTGTTTGAGGGATGGGCTGGGGTCTACACTTCACAGACAGGAGAACTGGGTTGGTCCCTACCACTGCATGGTCTCTGGAGGTGGGAATGACAGCAGAGCACTGCATCTCCAAAGCAAAGCAAAGCAAACTTATTTGGTAACTGATCCCACCATAAGATTATTTTAAGAGTTCCTTGCTCTAAATCTAACACACACTTAGAAAATCTGATTTTGAATGTTTATTCAAAGTGAAGGGGTTTAAGGAAGATGAGCAGATTCTGATTTTTTGGGGGGAAGGGGGTTATACCGGGAGATCTCAGGGGTTCCTCCTAGTTCTGCACTCAGGAATTACTCCTGGCAGTGCTCAGGGGGACCATATGTGATGCCGAGGCTCAAACCCAGTTGGCCGTGTGCAAGGCAACTGCTCTCCACACTGGAATGTCGCTCCAGTCCCAGATCCCCATTCTTTGGTCAGGACTATCCAACTTGCCTGAGCCATGAGCTCTGAGGCAGGAGGAGAGGGAAGCTTCCTTGGCATGTTCCTGACACAAGCCTGGAACATTGCACAATCTCCCGGCTGGCTGTCCATGACAGGGCATGTGTGGCGACCCTTACATGGACACGGCCAAACAGACCCCGGCAGCTGCTCCTGCTGACCAGTCCTCACGGCTAATTCCCTTTGTCTCCTCTCAGCTCTGACTTCTACCGTGCAAGCCACAAGTGGCTAGAGGACATCGGGCCTCTTTACCGATGCCCGAGTCACAAATACATGGGCCCCTTTAAAGCCACACGCTTTAGAGTTGGTGTCCTGAGCAACAGCAGAGGGAGGAGAGCCGGAAGGGAGGTCTCCGGGGCCAGAAACCTTTCCCAAGGGATCACACTATCCAGATTCTTTCCTTACAACTTACATAAGAAATAAATCGCAGTCATGATGCAAATACCTTAAAGTGTTACTGGGGAACCTTTCAAAATGCAAATAACAAGAACCAAATATTAGAAACAGGAAGAGAAATGCAAATACAGCCAGGAGAACTAAATTGGCACTGAAGTTCTTTGCTGTGGCTTGATCTTAAAGGGTGAGTGCTCATGTGTGTGTGTGAATGTGTGTTGTGTATGTTGTCGAGAGTATTTTGCGAAACAAATGCAAGACACAGAGGGACGAAGGCAGCCAAAAATATATATATACAACGACTTGGTTTACTAAAAAATATATATGAAATTTATTTATTATAACGTGGATAGACTTTCTTTAGTCTTACCATCAAAGACACACAAAGAGAGCAAAGGAAGCAGGAGTGGGAGGGAAAGGAGAGGGTGAGGTGAGCACGGCAGCGAGCGAGCGCGGAGACAGCCAGACATCAGCACCCACAGTGAGCTCAGGACCGTGGAGACTGCCTCCCGGCCCCGCAGAGTTCCTGACCAAAGGCCGCGCCTGACATTCTGGTTCTGGTATCTGTCCTTGGCCTTCAGGGAAGTGGGGGACGCAGAACAGGACCACCCCCCCCACCCCGTCTGCTCTGGCTTTAGCAGTGGTCTGAGCAGGGGAGGACTGGCCCTGTCTTCCGCAGCTGGACCTGTTTTGAACCTTTCAAAAACCTAACTTGGAGACAAGCTCCCGAGAGAAACGCTGACTTTCACAAAGTGCAGAGACACGCCTTTGGCACACATCGCGTGCAGCTAAGCTGGAGATAACAACAGTCTGGGGAAAACCCGCAGCAAACCCAGGGGCTGGGTGAGTGGAGCTGACTTCCTCGCTCAGAGGCAGCCTCCGTGTGGGAGCCCAGGATGGAGAGAGCCTCCGCCATCAGCACTGCACGACACCAAGGCCCTTGGGGGCAGGCAGCGGTTTCTGCATGAACCCAGGGAATCTTGACCTAGACCCTTCCCAGGCTTTCAACCCGAGAGCAGAGCAAATTCCTTTAGCACTTTATCTACCATCACACTCAGACCTACATCTGGATCCTTTACAATCTCTACCTGGCGATTAAGATCCTGAGATTAGCTACAATAGAGTCGTCTTCAGATTTCTAAATTGGACACAACTTGCCGTGATTAACGAGAAGAAACAGTTCAATATTTGAGACCACGTTTTACATTTTTTTACTCGCACACACAAAGAAAATAAAGTCGTCATTTGTTCCTTAGATTCACTGAAAGTTTTTTTTCTTCGGGGTGGATGGGTGCACACCTGGCCATGCTCAGGATTTACCCTGGCTCTGGGCTCACGGTACCACATGGGGTGCCAGGGATTG